AGAGCGGAGGACTCGAGGGCTGACGCCCGCGGCCGCAGCCCAGGGGAGGTTGCCAGGACCTCTGCCTCCAGCCCCGCGGGTTCCAGGGAGAGCGGCGCCGACAGCGACGGGCAGCCGGGGCTCGGAGAGACAGACCACTGCCGCCGCATCCTGGTGCGAGGTAAGAGGACGGCCCGCGGCCCTGGACCGCGGGACCCGCACCCTACCTCAACTGGGGTCTCGGACCTTCCCGCAGGCGCCACCTCCCAATTCGTATATTCGTTCCCTCGGCCGTCGTTCAGTCATTCATTCGGTCACTATTGTTTTGAGCGTCTATTGTGTGCTGGACATTGACATGAGTGCAAGGGACAAAGAAGCGAATGGGGCCAACGAGATCCCCATTTCACCGTCTTACGGCTCTCAGCCCCTCAGGCGGCGCTCGCCCTCGGCTCACCCGGCGGGTGACGGCGGCAGGGGCAGAGGTGCGAGTGCGCGACTCCGCCCTGCTTCCCTCGCGCTCGGCGCGGAGAAAAGCATCGCGAGCGCTCGGCGGGGTCCGGACGAGGAGGGGCCAGGGCCGGGAACCGCGGGGCGGCGGAGAAAGGCCGGGGCTCCGCTCCGCTGCCGGGAGCTTCCCCCCACTGCCCAGCCTCGCGTCCCAGTCCCAGCGACGCAGACCGCGCGGGTTGCCCTCGGGAGAGGCACGAGGAAGCGGGGAATGGCCCGCGGGGCGCTTGCCCACCTGCGCTTCGCTTTCTCGGTGCCCACTCCCTCGCAGCGCCTGGGCCCAGGCGGCCGTCGGTGAGGCCTGTTCCGGGCCTGCTCGCCCCCTTTCTCCCTCGCCTTTCTCCTGCCTCCCTTCTCCCCGGGCCGTGTCTCTCCGCCGAGCTGGCCTTCTTATCGCTTTCTTCCTGCCAGCGGCTCTGGACTGCGCCCGAGTAACCCAGCTCTCCCCAGCTTTCTCCCCGCGAGAATGAGGCTCTTCTGACCCCCCAAGCCAGCCTCTAGGGAAGGTCTAGGCTCAGTTTTCGCAGGACCCAGGCCTCGCCCAGAGAGATGCGGGGAGAAAGGGAATTCTGGCGTCTTGCTCTCAGCCCGTTTCTAGGCCGCGGCCGGAGCCTGAGGTCTGTTTTCCCCATCATCCCAGGGACCCCGGACTGGGAGACCCAGAGCCCAGAAGAGGCCACTCGCTGGTAGTGGTTGCCCTGGCCCCCTTCTCCAACTACCTCGCCCGCTTCCCCCTGCTGCCTTTTCCCAGCCTCTTCTTTCTTAAGCGCCTGTCCTGCTTACCATGGCCCTGAGTGTTTTCTGGCCCACCGCCTGGGCAAAGGGAACCAGCCTGATGCTGGCTAGATCAAGGTCGCTCCAGCGCCAGCATCCCGAGTTTTGTCTGATCTGAGCTGGGCTACTCACACACAGACAGGGTCACCTTGGCCTGGTCGAACTTGTCCTCCCCACAGCTGCTGGGTTTGAGTGGTTCTGGGAATGGGGGACAGGGCTAGGGTAGAGCATGGAGGCAGCCCTGTGTGAACTTGACTGGTGACTGTTTTGCACATAGACTCAGGGACCCTGGCTTGGGAAACACTCCTGGTGTCAGGTGTGGTGACCTAGAGATAGGGTACCCAGGGCTGTTCTGGGGGCAGACTTGAGATACAGGACAGGACATGGTGGGGGGGGTATTCCCCACCCAGCAGAGATTCCAAGAGGTGTATGCACCTGTTGACACCTGGGATTAAATTAGATGCCATTCCATAGACTGTGGGGTGTCCTGGGTATAAGATGTTAGCAGATCGCTTGGAGTTCCATTAAGGAAACCTGCAGGGTTTACAGAAATGGAGAAATTGGTCTTCAAAACCCATACTACCAGATTAAGGCCCTCAAGTGCCTGTGACACTCACTACCTCACACTCCATCTATGGGTGGGCATTTCCTTCTGCCTGGACAATTGTGAATTCTGTGGGGTGTGAGTCACCCAAGCCAGGAATAATCCACAGCCAGGCAGAGATGGACTTGTGTGCATTGGCAGGAGGTGTACTCTTACAAATGCATGTATGCACATACAGCGATGCCTTACATTTGTACAATATAATGGAAATATAGCATAGAAGGTGTATTTATGCACCTAAAAGAAATAAAAGGTAAACAGAGCCCTCATAAATCCTTCTGTCCTTTCCCTTTTAATAACAAGGAGGTTATTATAGGCCTGAGATACTTGGGATGTCATTTACCACTAATCCCTTCCAGCCAGGGTCACCTGAGTCACTCCAGGCCCCTACTGGGGCCCAGAGCAAAGGCTCTGACAAATGAAAGGCTCAGCATTGGTGAAGGGAAGTCAGCAGTGCCTTAGCCCCAAGACGAATATCCCTCCAGTATGCTCTAAGCAGAGGGTACATTTTGCCCTTAACCTCTGAGGACACATCCTAAGTATCTATGGAGGAAACAAACAAAAAAAACGGTGAATGAGGCATTTGCCATCATAGCCTTCAGGATGCTGGTGGGGTAAGGATTCTGGGAAAGAGGCCCACTCTCTCTCTGGATCTCTGCCCTTCTTTCTGCCTCTTTTCCACGCTGAACTTGCTCCCCTGAGGCCACCATCCCAAGGTAGCAGATCTTTAGGGGTGTCCCATGGCACAGTGGAGTAAGAGGAAAGCTTGGGCGCTGGAATTACGTGGAGTTTATTTGGAACACTGGCTTTACAGCCTTTTTGAACTTGAACCAGTTTCTTTGCCCCCTCCATGCTTCAGGTTCCTCAACTGTACCTCTGACCTTGAAGGGCTGTGCCAAGAGTCAAAACTCGTGTCCATAAAACTGCGAACACCCAGCAGAATTTTCAGAAATATTCTATTGAATGTAAACAGGGGAACTCCAAGGTGACCCACAAGCCACTTCTGGGAGTGGGCCTCCTTCCACAGAGGCCTCCCCCAACTCACCCCCCTGTTGGGAACATGGTCGCCTTTGTGCCCCCAGGCCCAACAGGATTTGGAGGTGAGCAGCCAAGGGGTGAAGAACCTGCGGATGAAAAGAGGATTCCCGACACCTTTCAGACCACATTTGCAGGCCCCCGCCAATTCCCTTCGGGAACCCTGGCTCAACCAATCACTCAAGTTTCTGGCTGCCTCTGGGAAATGCAGGTCAGGGAACCAAGGAGACTAATCTTTCTGCTTCCCCCGCCTCAAAATGGTGGCTGCTTTATGCCACACACGGCACAAACAAGGCTGCTGGGATAACAAGCCTGTGCACACAACAGGAACCTGGCACACCCCACTGCAGACACAGCTAGGCTTCCCCGGGGACCATACAGCTGTGTAGGCCTCCCCACACCTCTGCTTGAACTGCCCTCTGGCTGGTGAGGGGTAGGGATGGGGAATCCTTTTGTTTCATATTTTTAAAAAACTTGGGCAGGAGGCAGTGGGGAACAGGCCACCTCCCTGCTGTGGCTTTAACCGCACAGGGCAGCCCCGGTGCAAAGGCCTCTTCGGTGGACCTGGGATCCCCGCGGTCACAGGAGCTGGGGCAACTCTCACCCCAAACTCTCTGCAACCTCACAATCCTGGCTCGAACCGACACACTCAGATGCGCCCATGTGATTTCCAGATCAATCCCGAGGCGAATTCAACAACCCCTCTGGATAGAGCCTGGAATGGCCATCTGCCAGTGTCACCGAAACAGTGCATGGTCCTGGTCCCTACTCACCTGAAGCGGTACTTGGGCCTGTGAGACTCAAAACCCCATTCGGACCACACCCTCTGCCCCCAACTTGGTGCTGCCACCTTGGCCCAGTTGAGGTAGGACTCAGAGGCTACCTTAAGAGTGCTCCCGCGGCCTGAGACCTGAGGAGCTCTGTTCCTGACTCAGCACCCTGTCTGGGAGTAGGAGTATAGGAAAATTGCCGGATCCCTTGACTGAGTGAATGGCTGCTGGTCCCCTACCCCACCCCCAACACCACCACCCACTAGCCAGCAGAACCGCTTTCACTTGGGAGCCTGATGGAAGTGCTCCACGGCTGGGGACATGGGAGAACGTAGGAAGGCAGGGGTCTCTGGCTGCCGCTGGACAATTTCTCCTGTGGATGTCGGTGCAGGGAAAGGGGGCATTGAATTTAGTGAGGTCCGACCCCGCTGAGAATCCAGGGACAGTGCTGGACCCACGCTCCAGAAACACACACGGGAACATTTATGAACAGCAGAATGGCAGACACCATCCCCCCCCCCTCCGGCGGAACACTGGATGCCCCAGATGCCTCTGAAGAAGACTGGAAGAAGCCTGGCAAGGTGCCACGGCTTGGGGGGCTTGCACTGGGAGTGGCCTGTGGGAACAGACTCCCTCCATCAGCAGCCAAGCCTGTACTAAGCTTGCCCCATGTCCCCTTGCTTTGTGCTTGGATTTACAACAGCCACTGATCCTAGGGGGGCTGCCCCAGGAACATGCCCCAGGACTCTCCCGCAGGTCTCAGCAGCCCCAACTAGGGCACACCCCGCGGGTGTTTCCGCAATGCGAAGGCAGGCACAGTGTTGTATAGGAATTAGCACTGGATTTCGAGTCTCAGAGCTGCTGCCCTCCATGGCCGGTGGGACCACTGCCTCAATATCAGAGTTTGTTCATAGATGCGATAAGCCAGGACCAGCATTCCAAGGCAGTGGCTGAAAAGTTTAAATGGTCCCTGCAGGGGACTGCACTTTGGGTTTTATTTTCATTTTTAGTGTTAGGGTTTATTGCACTTTGGGTTTTTATTTTAATTTTTAGTTTTGGGGTTTGTGAGAATATTAGGTTTCTTTTTTATTTTCCTGGGATTGTTTTTGTTTTGTCTTTCCTTTTGCTTTGTTTGCTTTTGGCAGAAGGGTGCACATCCTCATGGCAGGTGTGTGCTGGGCCCTATCATTTTGGTCTTTGTTTTTCCCTTACATGCATGCCCTCCTTCCTCCCCACCCCGAAAACATACTGAAACAGGCTAGCAACCGAAAGTGTCCTCTTGTGTGGTGTGCCTGTGTGGATGGAGTGCTTTCATTTTCAAGGAACTGTGCGGGGTGGGACATTGGTCGGCTCCTTGTGTTCTGGGCCCTGTGTAGATGCTTGGACTCAAGTGGCCATGGGCCCACTGCCACATCTCTCTCTCTCAGCACACACACACACACACACACACACAGGATTGGAGCATACAGGTGTGGCTCCCAGGTGAACTGG